TGCGGCCCCTGGAGCTTACATCGAGGGTCGTTCGGGGCCCAGACAGGCTAACTTCCTGTGCGATCACTGTCTCCTCTGCTTCGCGGACTTGTCCACTCTCAAGCGTCACCTGGTCTCAGCACATCAGGCCCCTATGCCTGCATGGTCTGGGGTTTTTGCCCGCGCTGAACACTCAGTCGGTGGTCTACCCAAGTGCAAACACTGTGGCCAGAGTCTCAGATCCTGGTCTCACCTTCGCAGGCACATCACTGACAACAACTGCTCAGCGTACTGGCTCAGCGAGCATGGCCTGGAGTTGGAGGCGGCCGCGGAGCAGTCGTGTGAACCGGAGTCTGTGGGGGAGGCTGCCTCTCTTGCTGAGTCTCTGACTGGCCAATGTCCTGATCCGGCATTGGTTGCATCTGATCAGAAGCTGTACACCTCCGCTCCGGTCCAGCACGTAGAGACTCTGCAGCCATCCGTCCCCCAGTCTCCCGAGGATGCCTTGCCCAGCACCACTGCCCTACGGCAGGTTCAACCTGAGCAGCAATCCCACGTGGGGATTCAAAATCGTCCGCAAACAATTGACATTGTCACGCGAGATGGCTGGATGGCCCTTCTTCACGATGTTTGTCTCTGCAAGGAGATGTCAGTGTACTGTGTCATCTGCGGCCAGTGGCTTGCGGATAAAACACAGATGAAGGTTCACATCCAAAGAATCCACGGAACTCTGTGGCTTGAGCATAACGTCCGGGCTACGGCTGAATGCAAACTACATGCACATATTGTTGTGAGCCCGTGCAGATACTGTGGCACGACTGTGAAGCGTACGAGAGAACATGCACACAAGTGTACTGTAATGTGGCAAGCTGCCTTCCTTTACTGCCTCCATGTTGCCCCTGCTCATCCTGTTGCTAGCGAGACCCGTTTACCAAGCCATGCCAAGCCCAGCAAAGCGTCCCTTTTACAAGATGCTTCGCTCATCTCCGCATGGCAGAAACAAGGGTTTCCGGCTCTGCTCATGCATGAGGCTGTGTTGGCATCCTCGCTAAAATGCGTGTTGTGTGGCGAGGTGGTGAAAACGCACAAAGTCTTGAAACTGCACATTCGTGGCATGCACCGCTCTGTCTTTGATTTGCACTCGAAAGCTGCCTCAGCTCAGTGTTCCAAGCTGCCTGAGAAACCTGGGTCCCCCTGTGTCTACTGCGGTAGGCATGTCGTCAAGGTCTCAGCTCATCCCAGCATGTGCTCTGTGATTTGGCAAGCGGCTCTTCTTGATGCGATTCTGAAGGCCTCCCACCAGCCTGCTGACGGCTGTGGACGAGGAAATGGCTCTCTTCGGGGAAGCACTGCCGTCTGTGAAGCGTCAGGTGGAGGAGGAGGCACTGGAGTCCTCCAAGAGGGTCAAGGCTCAGGCTCAGGTACCCAAAGGGGGTGGGAAGGGCAGGAACGGCCGAGGCAGGGGTGGTCGCGGGAAAAGTGGAGGCTTAGGGGGAAGCAGCCACCAAGGGGCACTGGGACACTCGGCGTGGGGGAGGACTCTTCTGGGCAGCGACGAGGCACTGCTCAGGGCTCTCCTTCAGCTAGCACTCAGACACGAGGACCTCCTGCAGAGGTTGAGTCTGGACACGACCCACGTTTGGATGTTCGAAAATGTCCAGGGACCGCAACAGGTCTTGAGCATGATGTACAACGTCACACAGACGTGGAAGAAGCTGCGCGACGAGACTCCCGAGAAGCTCACACGCAACTTGCGCACAACGGTAATCCTGGCTCTCTTCCAGGAACTGTCCTTGCGTCTAGCCAGAGTTCGGGAAGTGCCGGAGGCCAAAGAGGTGGCGGAGAAGCGAGGCTGGCTGTTGAACGGCAAGTGGCTCTACTTGAGGTGGAGTCACGACCAGGGAGCTCTGGTGAGGGACACAGAGGCGGAGCCACTGTCTCTGGAAGACTTGGAGACGCAGGTACAGCGTGCTCTGGTGCTGCTGAAGAGCCCTGGTGTTCTTCACAAGTTCCAGTCCACTCGCCCGCTGGCGGAGGAACTGTCAGGAAGCACACTCTGCTTCCTGAGCGAGCTGTCTCTCCGAGGCCCCGAGGCTCAGGAGCTGTGGAACTTGATCAATTCATGGTATGGGCTGGCGGCTCTCAACATGATTGGTCTTCGAATCCGACCGGCCAGAGCACTTCGCTCCAAGTTGGCGGATCAACTTCAGCAGAGCTTAGGCAGGTGCTTTCTTTGAAGCTTCAGAACCCTGGGAACCTGTGTTATGTTCACACATGCGTACACTGTATCGCCTGGATGGAGGCTTCCTCAGGTGAGCATTTCGCTCGTTTTGGGGTGCGCAGGCAGGCCTTCCTCAGTGTGCTCTCAGCTCGTCGTCCGCTGACACTTCTGGGTCATTCCCTCTGGAAGCAGGTGATACGTGATTGGCATCCGCGATATATGTTCCAACAGGACGCGGGTGAGTTCCTGACTCACCTTCTTGCTGAAAACGTTCCCGCATCACTTGAGGGTGTGTGGCTTGAGCGATACATGGATGTGACGGGGCAGGTGCAGTCACGTGATGTGTCCAGTGCCAACCCATTACCGATAGCACTGGATCCCGCTGCTGGAGTATCCACGGTTCAGGAGCTGGTGTCTTCATGGCATCACGTGCCAGGGGAGACGAAAGTCAAGGCCTTCCTGATGCCACCCTCATGCCTGTGCCTGCAATTACTTCGGTTCCAGTATGACCGTAGACTTCAGTGCGCTGTGAAGACTCAGACACCCAGCATCTATCCGAGAGAGAGGTTTCTTCGTTTGCCTTGCTTTAGTGGCAATGGCATGGAGTGCTCCTCAGTTCAGTATCGCTTGGAGGCTGTGTCCTTGCACCATGGCCTGACCCCGCAACAAGGTCACTACACATCCATCCTCTTGGATGGAGGATCTGAGGGCGCTTGGCATGCGAACGACGGGGTGTCAGCAAAACCAGTCGCGGCAGACCACCTTTCTTCTTTGCTGGCAGATGCATACTTGTTGTGGTACCGCAAATTGCACTGAAGGCTGGGATCTGTCTCTGGTGTGTCATGCAGGGTTTGGCTCGCTCCTCCAGCATCATTCACATCTTGCTTCTGCATGAGTTGCAGTCATGCGAGAAAATTTGAAGTTGGAAGGGTTGCTTACCCGTGAAAACATAGGCATTTTCGCACAAAATCTGCCTCGTTCTCCGTGCAGCCACGCAAATGTGATGCCGGAGGCTGCCTCTGTGCACTAGTGAGCTAACGGAGGAGGCTGCCTCCTTGAGGGCCTCCTTGTACAGCTTGGTGTGGCCAGGACGCTGTCATTCAAATGTTGGTGCCTGGCTTCTTCCCTTCCACAAGCGTCGGGTCCTCTCGCACCTTGCGGCTCTGCTGTGCAGACAAGCATGTGTTGTTTCACAGTTTGCGTGTACATTGTGACTCTTGTACAGTGGTAGGGCTCATCGCTTGGACTCTTGAGTCGGATGAGCTTATCTTCGTAATGCTCTGCGGTTCGCCGCGATTACTGGGTGTTCAAAGAACAGCGCTTTCATGCGCCGGGTTTGTTAAACCTGCCCACGTGCCGCGCTAGGGCTTGTCTGACAGGTCTGCGTCCTCAAAGTCAAAAGCTGGGCCCGCTAAGTGTCTGGGCTCGAGGTTAGTTGGGGATGTTTTGGGCGGGGGTAGCTCGCCATGAGTCACTGCGTGGCCCTCGCGGGCAGATGACTCTTTGCTTACATGCATTACTGATGGTCTTTCTGATGGACGGCAATGTGGCTACTGACGGCAGGGTCCTGCAGTCTTCGCTGGAAACCATTAAGACATTTGATTGGCATCCGCATGATTTTGAAATCAACCAGTGTCTGGCATCTCAACCGTTGATTTTGCGACCAACCTATGTTTTGG